TAAGGTATGAGTATTGAGTAAAACTCAAGACCTGACCACGGCAGAATAGAGAAAGGACGAAGGTCGTCCCCTATGTTTAAGACGTAGGCTCTAAAGTATGTTGTGTTGTGTACCGCACCTGAAGTGTGCCAAGCCATGAGTCAGTCAAGGGGTACAAGTGTGATCTAGGAATGGATCACAGGACAATGGTCAAGGTTATCCTTAGTAACTAGTGGACTAAGGAATTTTCTCGATTATGGAGGTGGTAAAAGAGTTCGTTGTAAAGGGTTACGCCGATGCAATCTTTGACACTAATCTGGATGATTCTGAGTAGTAAACCAGATTCGTATAGTAGACCAGTTATTTGGAATAGCTCCAAATAGAGCGTGGTAGCTGCATATACAAGATGACATAGAGATTTGTAAAGCACACACGGATCTGAAAGGTTCAGACCCGTTGACTATAACATCTCTCACAAGCATAACATGATCAAACCCAGAACTCATTGAGTGTTAATCACATGGTAATGTGAACTAGATTATTGACTCTAGTAAACTCTTTGGGTGTTAGTCACATGGGGATGTGACCTTGAGTGTTAATCACATAGCGATGTGAACTGGATTATTGACTCTAGTGCAAGTGGGGGACTGTTGGAAATATGCCCTAGAGGCAATAATAAATTAGTTATTATTATATTTCCTTGTTCATGATAATCGTTTATTATCCATGCTAGAATTGTATTGATAGGAAACTCAGATACATGTGTGGATACATAGACAACACCATGTCCCTATTAAGCCTCTAGTTGACTAGCTCGTTGATCGATAGATGGTTACAGTTTCCTGACCATGGACATTGGATGTCGTTGATGACGGGATCACATCATTAGGAGAATGATGTGATGGACAAGACCCAATCCTAAGCCTAGCACAAGATCATGTAGTTCGTATGCTAAAGCTTTTCTAATGTCAAGTATCATTTCCTTAGACCATGAGATCGTGCAACTCCCAGATACCGTAGGAATGCTTTGGGTGTACCAAACGTCACAACGTAACTGGGTGGCTATAAAGGTGCACTGCGGGTATCTCCAAAAGTGTCTGTTGGGTTGGCACGAATCGAGACTGGGATTTGTCACTCCGTGTAACGGAGAGGTATCTCTGGGCCCACTCGGTAGGACATCATCATAATGTGCACAATGTGACCAAGGAGTTGATCACGGGATGATGTGTTACGAAATGAGTAAAGAGACTTGCCGGTAACGAGACTGAACAAGGTATAGGGATACCGACGATCGAATCTCGGGCAAGTATCGTACCGATAGACAAAGGGAATTGAATACGGGATTGATTGAATCCTCGACATCGTGGTTCATCCGATGAGATCATCGTGGAGCATGTGGGAGCCAACATGGGTATCCAGATCCCGCTGTTGGTTATTGACCGGAGAGTTGTCTCGGTCATGTCTACATGTCTCCCGAACCCGTAGGGTCTACACAATTAAGGTTCGGTGACGCTAGAGTTGTAGAGATATTAGTATGCGGTTAACTGAAAGTTGTTCGAAGTCCCGAATGAGATCCCGGACGTCACGAGGAGTTTCGGAATGGTCTGGAGGTAAAGATTTATATATAGGAAGTCCAGTTTCGGCCACCGGGAGAGTTTCGGGAGTCATCGCTATTGTACCGGGACCACCGAAAGGGTCCCGGGGGTCCACCGGGTGGGGCCGCCTATCCCAGAGGGCCCCATGGGCTGAAGGGGCGTGGGAACCAGCCCCTGGTGGGCTGGTGCACCCCCCTTGGGCCTCCCATGCGCCTAGGGTAGGAAACCCTAAGGGGTGGGGGCGCCTCCACTTGGCTTGGAGGCCAAGCCACCCCTAGGGCTGCCGCCCCCCTCCCTAGATGGGATCTACAAGGGGCCGGCGCCCCCCCTAGGCCCCTATATATAGTGGAGGGGAGGGAGGGCAGCCGCACCTGAAGCCCTGGCGCCTCCCTCCCTCTCGTGACACCTCTTCCTCCCCGCTTGTGCTTGGCGAAGCCCTGTCGGGATCCCGCTACTTCCACCACCACGTCGTCGTGCTGCTGGATCTCCATCAACTTCTCATCCCCCCTTGCTGGATCAAGAAGGAGGAGACGTCTCCACTCCGTACGTGTGTTGAACACGGAGGTGATGTCCGTTCGGCGCTAGGATCATCGGTGATTTGGATCACGACGAGTACGACTCCATCAACCCCGTTCTCTTGAACGCTTCCGCTTTGCGATCTTCAAGGGTATGAAGATGCACTCCTCTCTCTCTCTCTCTCGTTGCTAGTCTCTCCATAGATTGATGTTGGTGATGCGTAGAAAATTTTAAATTTCTGCTACGATCCCCAACAGTCGGCTGCGCTGAGTCCGACATCATCAGCACAACCCACTGCTATTGCTCTTCGTCCTCGAACACGCAGCCAGACGAGCGTTTTTTAGCCAAAGAAACACACTGATGGGACCGTCGCATGGCTCGCTGCCTGCATGGCTCATACTGCTGCGGATCCCACTGCTGAGCCTCGCCATTTTCAGGCTGCACTGGGTATTCCTCACTGGTGTGCCACGATGAAACAGGAGTTTCAGGCCCTGCTGAAGAATGACACTTGGCATCTTGTTCCTCCAGTGACTGGTGTTAACGTTATTGATTCTAAGTGGGTCTTTAAAGTAAAGAGAGATGTTGATGGTTCTATTGAGCGCTACAAGGCAATGCTTGTTGCCAAGGGTTTCAAACAGAGGTATGGTCTTGATTATGAAGACACATTCAGTCCAGTTATCAAGCCCACTACCATTCGTTTGATGTTGTCTCTTGCTGTTACTCGCGGATGGTTTCTTCGTCAGCTTGATGTGCAGAATGCTTTCTTGCATGGAGTCTTGGAGGAAGAGGTTTATATGCGTCAGCCGCCGGGTTTTGTGGATCCTGCACGTCCTCGTCATCTCTGTTGTCTTGTTAAGGCGCTATATGGACTTAAACAGGCTCCCCGTGCGTGGCATGCATGCCTCGGCTCTGTTTTTCGGGCGCTGGGGTTTCTTCCCTCCACTGCTGACACGTCCCTATTTCTTCTTCAACGTCCAGAGATTACGATGTATCTACTGGTTTATGTTGATGATATCATCCTCATTAGTTCCTCCGATGCCGATGCGGATCGTCTTGTGGCTGCCTTGAGTGGTGATTTTGCTGTCAAGGACTTAGGTGCTCTGCACTTTTTCCTTGGTCTGGAGGTTTCGCGGTCTTCTGCTGGGTTGACTCTTACTCAAAAGAAGTATTCCCTGGACTTGTTGCGTCGTGCTGGAATGCTGAAGTGTAAACATGCTATCACTCCGATGTCTGCTACTGATCGGTTGTCTGCTCTTGATGGAGATCTTCTTCCACCTGATGATGCTACTAAGTATCGCAGTCTCGTTGGTGGTCTGCAGTATCTTACTATCACCAGACCCGATGTTTCCTATGCAGTCAACCGTGTCTGTCAGTATCTCCAGGCACCTAGGACATCTCATTGGTCAGTTGCGAAGCGTATCCTCCATTATGTATGCTTCACTGCTTCCTATGGTTTGCTTCTCCAGCCTGCACTGTCTTGTGAGATCTCAACATTTTCAGACGCAGATTGGGCTGGCAGTCCTGATGACAGGCGATCCACGAGGGGATATGCAGTGTTTCTTGGTCCTAACTTGATCGCCTGGAATGCTCGCAAGCAGGCTACAGTGTCTTGCAGCAGTACTGAAGCTGAGTACAAAGCAGTTGCGGATGCGACTGCTGAGATCATATGGGTTCAGTCCTTGTTGAGAGAATTGAGAGTCTCTCCTGCTCATCCTCCAGTGCTTTGGTGTGACAACATTGGTGCTACTTATCTTTCGTCTAATCCGGTGTTTCATGCTCGGACGAAACACATTGAGGTAGACTATCACTTTGTTCGGGAACGCGTTGCACAGAAGCTCCTCGGTATCAAGTTCATCTCGTCAAAAGATCAACTTGCTGACATCTTCACGAAGCCTCTTCCATAACCACAGTTTGTAGGCTGTAGGCGCAATCTTAACTTGCTTTGTACCTCAGGCCATAGTTAAGATTGATGGAGGGTGTTAGACTGTATATATACGTAGACCCTTGTATACACATGTATTTGTATTGTATCCTTTGGTACTCCTATATAACGAGATAGCCACACCCCGGTTAGGGTGTCGAGCAGTTTCTCAAACTATATGTTTTACACACCCAACACCAATAGGTATATCGGCATGATATACGAATGCATTACACACAAAAGGGAAAATCGAACTCTGTCTATACACGACCCAATGTCGTGAATCTTGCCACAAATCCTCTCCCAGGGCGAGAGCAGCGGATTCGCCGGGTGATATGCTTTACTCGGCCAGCTATGAAACTGAAAGTAACTTGAGTATATACACTGAAGCCGAGAACTGAGATGCTTTCTTTAGATGAGAGTGTATCAGGATTTAGTCCCTAGCTTTGCTTATTGCTGATAATAAATTTTGATTATGAAACGCACAGGCAAATAAAACATTGAAAATCTCAAGACATCTTGTTCTCCAAGGATAAGTGAAACTAGTGATATCTAGACCAAATGTAAGTATCATTCGACTGAATAAGGCCGCACACATTTCTCAGAAGTTGGCCTGTGATTCCCATAAAAATAAGGACCCCTGCAGGTATTTTGTAGGCAATACATCATGCCCTTGTTTCAAGTGCAATGTCAGTACCTGGAGACAAAAACAGAACTCTGTACTGCGCTTGACTCGAGTAATGTCACAATTCACAAACAGTTTCAGTTTCCCTGCACATAATTTACAAAGAGCCATACTTTACAAAGAGCTGTAGTCCTGCAACAGCCACTCTATGTTGAATTCGCGCATTACGTGTAATCTTGCAACCTGTGTTCTTGGGACCTGGTGAACTATGCACAAGTACACTAGCCTGGTAATATGTGCTAGGCCGCACCCAAGTGAAAGGCAAAACAGAGACAAACCAAACCAAACTGAACTGAAAACCGTATCACCAAAACCAGCTAGTTCGGCTATCAACAGCCTTGACCGTACTCGCTACCAGAGGCATATGACCATACATGGAAGCAAATGCATTCAAACATCTAGATCTCCGCAAATCATGGCCTTTTGAACTGCTGATACCGGTCGATCCGATCTCATATATCCTTCCTGCAGTAAAATTTATAGTTTGGGCATTAGTGTGACCTCCTGATAACAATAACATCCAGGCTATTATGTTTACATGGCTAGTTCTTTTTTGGTTTTCTGTATTGACATCAAATTAGCATTACTCCTATCTCTTCTACTGGTTGTTGCAGTAAGTTTTTTTTATTGCTTCCATATGGTTGTTGCTAATTCAAACAAGGCACTTCAAGTAATGCTAAAAGTAACTGACCAGCATACAGAAAAAGCAACAAATTTTCAGACTAGCTGTTCTCCTAATAGACACTAGAGTGATGGGTAGAGTAATTGTAACACTGTTCAATTGGGAATTTTGAGGAAATTATCACATTTGATAGCAACATACATACAACTAAGAATTAAGATATTTTAACTATATCAAGTTCAAGTTCCGAAAGCCTCGCGTGATCGCAACGCCGTAAGCCATTTACCAGCAACATAGGTCGTGTTCATGTCCGCCATGGGAAAATCTTGCATACAACAACTGGGTTCCATTTAAGTCATCAATCTGACAAAACTTTTGGTAAATAACTATTTTACTGTTCATCGTCAGACTGTTGTGAGGATGAACTCAATGCTCCTATGGCCTAGTTTCATCACTGATGGCCACACAGCGTATTGGCTCAGGAATTACCCTGAGGAAATCGCTGGCGCGGTGCATGATGATGTAGCTCCGCTATGGCTTAAATGAAATCTCCCTTTCTTCGCAGATGAGATACTGTGTGCACACAATTAACATGCTTTAACTGAAGCCTTCTTCTGAATATATTCAGTTTTTTTTCGGAAAGGGGTCTGAATATATTCAATTCACAAGCTTTCCTGAATGGCAGGTTGGGCATGGCAGGATATCATCTGTAGGTCCCTGTTTCTGCTGATAATCCATTTGGATGGCAAAATGTACAGGCAAAAACGCATCAAGATTGACAGTCTAAAGAAAGACATTTGTCGCCTTAAGTAAAACTAAGCATCACTAGTAATTCCCCAATGATGGAATTTCTGAATACTGAGAAGTGAGAGCAAATGTGAAGATCATTTCAGTGCATTAAGTGGGAACTAATTCAACTAAATAAGACTATAAAAAATTAACTCGAAAAAAATTTAAGGGTGTATAAGTTCTTCAGCAGATAGCACAGATGAATTTAAATGGTGCGCAGGGATGCTTACAGACCTTGAACCCATATTGGTGGAACTCCGGTCACATTTGCAACAAGAAAAGACATAGCAATGTCCTCACAATTCCTGCCAAGCATTGGTGGAAATCTTAATAGATCCTACATAGGGTATCATTTCAGGCAGCATAATACACATAACTGAAGAAAACTTTCTACAAATGTTGATGCAGCAATATAGAGTTATAAATACCTATTCTCTGTCACATAATCGCGTATCGACGGTAGCATGTGGTTGGTATATAAATCCAAATACCGCCTATGAAAAAAACTCGCTTTCGAGAGTACCATACTGTATGTCCCTGTCCTCCAAACTGACCACCAGCTTCCATATCTGTACTCTTTGGTGTTGCCTCTCTGCAGAGGAAATTAATTCAGTTAACATAACGACTTTCTAATAGTATCCATGCAGAGGAAATAATGATCCACTAGTATGCAGAAATACAGCTAGTGATGCACTTGTACCGGGTCAGCAGGCCAGTGCATACGGGGCACGAAGCCGACCATGGCAGAGGGCGCGCTCTGCCAGACGCCGAAGGCGAACCGCAGCGTGGAGCAGGGCACGACGAGGTCGTCGTCGACGGAGAAGACGGCGTCCGTCCTGAGCCCCTGGATGGGCCTGAACCTGTTGTTGAGGCTGTTTCCCCTGTTCATCACGAACCCAACGTCGGCGGCGGCGCGGCTGCAGTTGAGGACGCTCCGGCGCAGGGCCTCCGGCGGCTCCCGGGGCTCGCTCCACACGACGTGGATGGCGTCCACGCCCGCGCAGACGGAGTAGTGCGCGACGGCTCTCTTCAGGAGGTCGTAGCGCTTCCACGTGTTGATCACCACGGCGTAGCCGCTGCCGCTGAGGGGGAGGAAGGAGGACGGTGTTAGCCGCCGCTGCCGCGGGTAATTAGTCGAGCAGGTGGCGTACGCGTCACCTGTGGCTGGTTATCGGCCAGTACTCACCGTGGCGAGGCGGCGGCGGAGGCATCGGGCTCCGGGCGGTGTAGTGTGATGCAGAGCGTGAGGACGGCGCCGGCGGCGAGCGCGAGCAGGCACGCGAGGAAGCAGGCGGCGAATCTGCCGGCTCTGGCCGCGGGAGCGTGGCGAGGGGGCGAGGGGGCGAGGGGCTGGCGGCGGCGGGCGCCGTTCCACCGGTGCGTCGCGGCCTGCAGCTGAAGCAGCTGCTTGGCCATCCCCAGCATCGCAGGCAGCGCTCCCCAAGACGATGGCGGCGTCGCGGAAGCAGCCGCGGGCAGAGGAGGAAGAAGAGAGAAACCGCGAGCTTTCACGGCGAGCGAGCGAGGCCTTGGCGTGTGCCCAGTGTGCACCACTGACCGGCCGGCGATGGCGACACTGAAGTAGTAGTGCTGGTCAACTCGCTCGTTCGACGCCAGTGGCGGAGCTGAGAGAGAGGAGGGCGAGCTGACTTGAGCTGAGCTGAGATCGCCTTGCTTTTCCTAATGCAGATGCAGCGGAAGAATCTCCGGTGGTTGGGCCACACCCACGGTGGTCAGCTGGCTGGAGCATGTGGCAGCGTAAAGAAACATTCCCCTCCGATCTCGGCTACGCATGGACCGCGCGCACAAATTCAGTGAGAAACATACTCACTCAAGAATAGTTAATCTGAGTTAACCAAGTTATTTTCTTTTTTGCGAGATAATCTGAGTTAACCAAGTTATATGGAGTACACTTTCTAGAGCTCTAGTCGTCATATCGGCCCCATCGCTATAATAACCACCATTATGGCTTTCGGCGATTTTGATCGAAAAAATCAACTGAGCAGAGTGGCCGTCCCACCTTCTATCGTTATAATTTTTGGCGAGCGCACGGCTTCATATTTGGAGGTTGGACGAGGCGATATGGCGCGCCCTTCATCCGTCAAAATATTGGCATGACAGATATTTAAGGACGCGCGCTCCCTTTAGCCGCCTCCCGCATTCCCGCGCCATCTTCGTTTCGTCACACGTCCAAAGCCCAGAACACATGAATTGGCCCATGTCGCCTTAGTTGAGCCGTTTCCAAGTCCTCCTGCCCTTCATCACAGCCCCGCGCCTTCTTCCCACTGCAAGGCCCGTCACGCCACCACTTCCGTCGCACGACCTCAAAGTGTTCCATGACATTTTTTCGTGAATACCCTAGATGTGTATCATTCCGTTGATAGGGAGAGTTAGAAAGTACAGGATTGCGGGTCATGGACTCACGACCTATGTTACACAGAGGAGAAGGCGTAGCCACGGCCGCGGAGTGAGCAGAAGAACAAGGGGATGCTCAGCCCCAATACAGTAATGCCTAGGTTGCGGGGATGATCATGCTAAGCCCGCTGGCGCCTGCCATAGCCCAGACTCGGACATAATCATGGATGGTTTGGGCAAGGCGGCTGATCAATGGTCGGGCACCGTCGAAGATGATGGAGTTCAGTGCTCTGATAAGGACGATGCTACGAGGGAGCCCAAGTGTTCGATGACTTGCCTAGAGATAAATCTTCCCAACATTTTCTTGTAGATTTAGTTTACGGCTTATAGACTCGTGCAGATGACATAGGACCCACATTATGTGTAGATGATTCGGATGATGGACCTCCATACGGAAGTGTCGCCGTTTGGTCATGCAGAAGTGTCGCTGGAACAAGTACCGTGGGAAAGTACAACCTGACACAAAGTAATCGAACATGTGTCACTCATGGCCTTCGATTCTTCTTAGTTGGAATGACCAACCTGCCATCTCGGAGGCTTACTCTTTGTTATGGTTGATGCTATACATTCAACAACCATCAATATCACCTTGTCTTCTTTCGCGTCCATGGTTTCATTCTTGGACTCGTAGTGCAATAACCCGACGATGAATCAGCACACAAAAATTCTGCATGACCAAATGGTTGTTCTATCGAATTCACGCCAATGAACCTTTCTTTCAAAAACAAAGAAATGCTGCTAGTCTCCTAGGTTTTCTCCCTTTTAAGAAGATGGCCACAACACTTAGGAGGATTGCATATTGCTCTCTTGCAGATTCATGGGATGACGCTTTTCAAATGGTCGAAGATACAACAACCAAGTGCACGAAAGTGTTCACTGGAAATGCGGTGCATGTTTATGGACCACAATATATGCATGCACCCAACTTCGGGCGACACGGCCAGGCTTCTAGCGGTGCATGAAGCAAACGGCTGGCCTGTGATGCTAGGGAGTGTTGACTCTATGCACTAGAGTGTAAGAATTACCCTGCAACCTGGCATTGTCAATTCATCGGGCATTGCAAGGATCCAACCATAATTTTGGAAGATGTTGGCTCTGAAGATCTGTGGATCTGCATTGCTATTTTGGTTGCCTAGATCTCATAGCACCATCAATGTCCCATAGAGATCTCATCTCTTTACATGGCTAGCTGTTGGTACTTCTTCACCTTGCAATTTCACGGTGAATGGTCATCAATATGCCCAAGGCTACTACCTGACCGATGGCAGCCATACATCATTGTTAACATTTGTGAAGGCAATTTGTAATCTCAAGAGCAGGAACATAAGCATTTCGCCAAGGTGCAAGAAGCTCATAGGAAATACATGGAGAGGGCACTGGAGTACTGCAATCAAGATTCTCAATTGTCCGGGACCTGCTCATTTCTGGAACAAGGTTGTCTTGGCAAATACCATGACATGCTGTGTGATCCTACCCAACATGATCATAGAGGATGAGAGGAATATACCAGACCCCATGGACTATGAAAATATTGGCACAAACGTCACGCCTTGTGGGCACACATGTCGCATTCAAGCATTTCTGAAGGCGTGCCGAAAGATTGAAGACCGGGACTCCCATCATCAGTTGACGGACACTGAGAATCAATGGCTACTAGTTGAGAGATCGTGTGTTTAAATTTCTTTCAAATTCATTTAGTTTTGCTTAGAAATTTTTTTGATCAGATATTTGTGCATCTGGATTATTTGTTCTATCCAGAATGGTTTGTAATAATATTTGTTGAAATACTCATTGTTTTATCTAAACTATTGTAAATATGCTAGAAAGAAAATATGACCCAATGACAAATGGTGTCCTACTTGCACGAAAAATATAGAGGCCACATTATGTCAACTTTGTGTTTGCACACAGCCTCCACAACCTCCAAAACATTATCAGGGATGAAGCTAGAAAGAAATTCCTATGGTTCCAGTAGTGCAATATCGGTGTCATCTGTGCAATTAAGCAAATATTAATACAAAACTACTGAAGAAACAAAAAATGACTGGTGTCAGCTGAAACCAATTCCTCCATGGCAGCTTCGTCCTGGACATTATGGAGTGCGCTTCATATGTGTTACGGAGGCTGCCAACATGACAACTCTGCTACAGTTGCTCTTATTCTAAAAGAAGAAGATATGTATCCGCTTTGGATTGTTGATACCGAAATAATTTTGTAAGGTAACTAATGAATTGAAGTTTGATTTGGATTTTTGTTTCTTATGACTTTTTTGGGGCTGTTGTAACCAATTGATCTTGCCCTTGAAAATATGAAAGTTGATTTCTCTCTCTTTCTTGACTCTGTGAAACAAGTTTCCTTTAGTTGGATGATGATGGTAAAATATTTTCTGACAAACAAAAAATTGCAATCAATGATAGAAAAATTCCAACCATGAGGGTCCCAACTCTTTTCTAATTGTTGTGTTACTTCATAATTGTTTTGCTGTCCGAAATTTAAGGTTTGAACAAGAACTAATCTAATAATTTATGAATTATATTACACAAAATTGATAATGGTATATTTATATTTAAAACTCTGATCACTCTCTGTCTCAAAAAAAGAGAGCTCCCTTCATTGAGAACCACCTCGTGGTGGGAGGATCACAGGATTCAGATCCGCATGCTCACACTGTCACACATACACAGACGCGTCCAGTTGGAATTTACTAGTGAATTAATTAATACGAGTAGTTCTGTCGCTCTTTTCGCGCAAAAAGGAAAAAAAAGAGTAGTTCTGTCGCAAAAAAGAAAAAAGAGTAGTAGGAGACGTAGTGTTGTGTATGGCGGAAAAAACTGCTTCCGTCGTTTTCAAAAGGAGAGTCGTTGCGACGATTCCTTACCTGCGACTGTGCGAGGGCGGCTAAAAATCTATCCACTCCTCAAAGGCTCATGACTTCACCGTGTGACCGTGCGAGGGGGGCTGCGCAAGATAACGTAAGCCATGACACAACCTCGGATCACGAAAACTACAGTTATTCTACAATACAGGCACATGACTGATTGATGGTCTGAGTTAAAACTAGATAATGTTTTCACAAGGCTATGGGATGTACTCCCTCCGGTCTTTTTAGTTCGCATATAAAATTTGTTTGAAATCAAACCTCGTAAAATTTGATCAACTTTGTAGAAAAAAAAAATACAAACATTCACAATGTGAAATCATAATCATTAGATTCGTCGTGAATTAAATTTTCATATTGTATAACTTTAGCATTGTAGATGTTGATATTTTTTCAATAAATATGGTTAAACTTTACGAAGTTTGACTTCAAGCAATTCTTATATAAGGACCGGAGGGAGTATGAAAAGCCAGAAATGATGGATGCCCATGTTTGGTTTAGGAGTGTATATATACCTTATATGTAAAAAAATAGTAGTTAAACAAAAAGTCAAAAAAATCTGAAAATACTTTTGAAATAAATTTTTAAAAGTTAAAAAAATAAAAATCCTAGTTGACTTCTTAAAAAAACAAAAAATTCGGCCAAAATAGTGTGAATAGTGACCAATAATAGAAAAAATGCCCTGAAGTCAATGCTAGGTTTTTATTCGTGAAAATTTATATAATAGTGCAAAAGAAAGTCAGGTTTATTAAAAAAACTTCTAAACTTAGTCTTTGACTGTTTTTGTAATTATTTGATTTGTTTCTCGTATAGGATGTATCTACAACGAGGAACCATGGGGTATTCCCGAGAATGGTCTCCTTTTCAATAATGCAGGTTATCCATGCTACAAAGGCAACACTTAATGCATGTTTAATGGAGGAGAAGGTGGAAAGAAGAAGTCTCCTAAAGATAACAACTCTAGCTGAAGATTGTTTCTCTCGAGTGTGGAGGGCAGCAGCCAGATCCACACCTCATCGCGGGTAGCCTCCCGACGCCCATGACAGTGATCTTTTGTGAGACTATGTACTGACTGGCGCAACTATCAAAAATCCCATATCGAGATGGTGATTGGAGCAACGCACCACTTCAT